GTGCTCTGAGGCAGCGGCTGAAATAACGTGTGCGGGGCGCGGTCACTGCCAGGGCTGCGGGACTGCGGGTTGGGATAATGGTTAAAACGAGGGGTAGGGTGTGCTCACTGGGCTAGCAATGGGGAGCTGTGTGGTTTAGGCCATATGCTCGCCGGGCAGGGACCAGAGGATGGATGGATGGATGGATGGATGGATGGATGGATGGATGGGACAAGAGGATGAGAGAACAAAGGAACCATCGGTGAACACACCTTTCTTAGGCAAAAGCTCCGACATAAAAGGACTGAAAGTATAGGGAGGGCAGCAAACTGAGCTGCTGGGTGGTCACACTAGGACCACCTGGGACCACTGTCTCAATTCGTTCTGCACGGTATTCTAATGAAGGGAAGGGTTAGGAGAATGATTCCAGGGAAATGATTAGCCTATATGTATGGAGACTAGTGAGTATAAAAGAAGAGTTTTTGGAGCTGGGTTTGCAGGCTTGGCAGAGCATCCCCCGCGCAGGCCGTGCAGCAATAAATAATGACTGTGCTCAACGCTGCATTGGTGAGAAGGAGTTTTCCTCCCAGTTTGGGTGACACAGGGACAGGCACTCGGCTCAGCACCCGCCGGTCCCGCACGTCCCCCCCAAGCATCGCCCGAGAGCCACCACAGCCGGCTGTGTGTCCACCCCCCCGAGCATCGCCTGAGAGCCACCACAGCCGGCTGTGTGTCCCCGCAGGCTGCCAGCACCACGGGCTAACCAGCCACAGCCACAGCGCTGAGGGCTGACCAGAGTTAAAGAGCACCGGGAACTGATACATCTGGCAACAGGAGCATGAGAGAATGAGAACCACAGTGAAACTCAGTGACGATAAACATTATACAGGACACATTGCTGGAGGATTACTATGTTGGTGTATTTGGAATTCTTGCAATAATTTATGGGATGTAAATTTTGGGTTGAAGTCAACCTTTCATATAAAAAAGTTCTTTTTCTCAATAACATGATCCAGGAACCTGAAACACATAGAGTCATAGAACTGTTAAGGTTGGAAAAGACCTCTGAAGTCAGTGAGTCATACATTGATCCTAAAGGTTCAAAAGTCTGAAAAGGGAGTCACACATCGATCCTAAAGGTTCAAAAGTCTGAAAAGCAAAGAATTAAATACAAATTTCTTACAAATACAAGACACTTCCCAAAACAATCTCATGATTTTTGCATAGCTTCTGGTCAGAATTCCTTAGACAGGTGAATCTTGCAGTGAACAGCTGAGATCCCTATTGAGTGTCTTGGAGAAGAATAATAAATCCTGGCATACTTCTGGTTATTGCAGTTCTTTTCTCAAGACTGGGATGAACTGCTCAAGCTACAGGATGACACATCTCTGGCAGTATCAGACCAGCTGCACTCGTGTGCTCCCAGGTCACCTCAGCAATGTCAGAGCACTCACCTTCCACTGACATGCTTCACCCAAATAAACCAACTGTCTCCCCTCTGATGGCAGCAACATGCTGTCCTTGGCATGCACAGTCATTCCTTTCACCTTCTGACTTCTACACAGACTCACTACCTATTTTTCCTGCTACTTAGTATCTTTCTTGTTTTAACATGATCATGCACAACCCAACAGGCTCCTCATGTTCATTTTGAAAATGAGACAAGCCACTCCTGTACACTTCCATTTAATCTCTGACACGTATTAGAAAGAAAATACTAACATTAGTCCCTTATTTATAAAATCCAGCCTAAGATGACCTTGGATACATTTCCTAATTAGACACTGCGTTTTGTTTTGGAATGATGTGGCTTCATAACATTCCTATGGGGTATTGTTTCCATTCCCAGTTTAGAGGCTCAAAATAACCCAACTCAGACATGAAGTTAATTCAGGAGTCAACAAGTGAGTTTGCTGTAGCACACAGAGCTCTGTGCTGGCACAACACAACACCTTTCCTGCTGGGCACACAGTGCTGGTCAACACATACACTCACTTCTTAAGCCCATTTATTTATTTTTCAAGGTATTTTAAATGCCTTTTTTTACACTTCTGGTCACTGTTCCCCAGAGCAGCTTTCAATCCAGAGCACAACTGTGCCATTTCATCACCAGGGGCAGGGTTTTATGAGAACCAGCATTCCCCCTCTCAGGTGTAAGAACAAAATTAGTTTTCCATGTAGAAGATAAATCTTAATAGTGTTTTGTTAACTATATTATTGCTACCATTTTAAGTCAGCCAGGATGAATGTGTTCAAAATAGGAAATTAGCAATTCTACCACAGAAACTCATTTTCTGTACAAGGGACTAATAAAACGCAGCAGGACACCCTCAGGTTGCCCTTTTCAATGACAAAACAGAGGTTTAGTAGTAAATCAGCATTTCAAAGTGACAGAAATGGTCATAAATCTCTTAACTAGTTCATAGAGTTTCCAGAAATACTTCTCTGGAAATGAGAAGTTCCATAAACTGACAATATTCAGCCAATTTTTATCTTTGGCTTTAAAAATCAAATGCAAAGACCCTTGTGTGCCTTGAAGCTGGTAACATCAATCTCACTGCTCCAGAAATGTTTGATACATTAATTACCTCTATACAAAGCTTGCATTAGACAATTTTAGGTTACAAATTTACAATCAATGCAGAAAGAAATGTAAACTCCACTGCTAATTTATGGGTATTTTCACCCTGATATCTAGCACAATCTAAATTACCTCACTCTTATCTGTCCAAATATCCACTCAGAAATAAGTTACAGCATGAACTGTGAAAATTAACTCCCAATGATTGCAATGGCAGGACAGTGCTACCTAATCTGAATAGATGTGTGAAATAATTTGAAAGTGATTAGTAACAATTTCATACTCTATCAGTGCTTTAAGCCACTATGGAGGAGAAGTTTAAAATTTACAGTTAGAAACAATCCTGAAATTACTAGTGGTAGAAAGTTTATTATAAATATACAGACTTCTAGTAATACAGACTACTAGGGGTTTGCTCTATTCAGAGCTTGGTGAAATACATCATTTCAGTGAGAGCTAAATTATGATTTTATGTCAGAAATTCACTTTGTACATTCTCAGCTGGATCACTGCAAATTCCTTTTGCAACTGCTCTTTAGAACATGATCCAATCTACACACAGGTAATGTGTATTAGTGCATTAAAAAACAGGAACTGAAGGTAGGTAAAGGGAATACCACATGGGAGTCCTATAGGACATGTGTGGGAGGGAGGGTTGTTGGATAGTCCCACAGATGGGACTTAAAACACTGAACAACACGAACAATGAGGTCAGATATGTATCCCAAGAGAAAAACAGGACAATTTCAAAAGTCTGTCAAGACTATGAGGTGGGAAAGGCAGGCTGGTATGTGAATTTGGAGAGGTCCATGCCTGGGAATTTTTGGAACATGCTTATCTTTGGCAGGCTGGTGCAGCTTGCTGAACATCAGCGCGATGACCTGCTGCCAGGGAGGGTAAGGTGAGCTGGATGTGGAACCGAGATCAGCGTTGCTTTATGCCAGCATGGAACTAGGTATAGGCTTTCTTTTTGTCCCTTTTTAAACTCAAGAGAGATGGATCTGTACACTGGACATGATGACCATCAGAACTGCTAACACAGCATGCAACTACTCCCACTGTCCCTCCCCCCCAAACCTGATCCACCACACTCTGTGATCATTCCTACTGAAACCCCTGCACAAGGAAAATCACACCAAGTCGTTACACATGCTTTGCTGATATAAAGATGAAAACATTAGAAATGTACAATTGCTGTTAAAATTGTATTTAATATCACATTTCAGTGACTGGAAATTGATTCCAATTCTAACGAATTGATGACAGGGAAAGAAAGCAATCACACTGTCTCATGTATCTGAAGATGACTTAGAAGATCTTTTTCGTTCCCAAACCTCATTAAACAATCAGTACATTTATGAGGCAAATCAGCTGAATGCCTGAAATCCAAATGAGTTTTAAGGTCTTCGATCTGTCCTGTTGAATATTCACAGTACTGACACAAATAAATCCCTTCAGATAAATGAGAGCTTAAGTGCTTGCAATATTCCAACATACCTGAAAATCCCTTCCCACAGTCATCACAAACATGGGGGAATATTTTGGTGTGTTCGATAGCTACATGCCTGTTGACATTGGTATGCAGCCTGCTCCTAAAGCCACACACCTGGCACACAAAGAAGTTTTTGCACTTGTCAAAACTGATTTTGTTTATGAGGCTGTACTGCCCACGCTCCTTGCTGTGGTAGCTGTCGCTCAGCTCGATCAGCCGACACGCGTGTTCGTTCACCACGTGGCTGTGCAGGTCCTCTGGGTCGTTTGTTTCGTGCTCACAGAACTGGCACAGGTACTGCTCGTCACAGCTGTGTTCCTGGAAGTGCAGGTACAGCTCACTGCTGGAGGAGAACTGCATATCACACTGCTCACACCAGTACAGGTGGTCGCTGAAGTGAGTGTCTGCTATGTGCTGACTCAGGTTCTCGAATATCACCGTTTTGTAGTCGCAGTATTTACAGATGTATGGATCCTCCTCGTGCAGCTTTACGTGCTCAATGAGCTGCATTTTGCTGGAGAAGCTTTCTTTACAAACTTTACAGACATGAGTGTCTGTGCATGTCTTATGCTTCAGGATCATGTGCTGCTTTAAATCAGAAAAGTACTTGCTATTGAACTCACAGAGCTCACACTTGTACAAGCCACTGCTGTTAGCTCTCAGCAAGGGCCATTTCTGTTGAGCTGTGATATTCAGAGCCTGGTTTTTCTCAAAGATCTTACAGGTCTCCAGAGGGATTTCCTCCAGGTCCTCAGCCTCCAGCTTCTCAGGGGACACAGTTTGTGTTTCTATATCATGAACTTCTACAGCATTCACTTCTGTTGTGGAGATCTCGACAGTCTGGATATCTAGAGGTTTCTCTTCTTCTGTAGGGCTGTCACTGAATATAGGCGAGTCACATAAATCTCTGCACACTCCATTGTTAGTACCTTTATCTGCAGGAGGAAACACATAATAAAAGGTTGAAAAAACATTGCAAAACACCTGGGTGCATGTTTAACTTTTCAGTCAGTTGCAGCAGTTTACCAAAGCAAAAAGCAGTTATTTTTCCCCTGCTGGACTATGCTGTGTGTTCACTTAACAAAGACTGGGAACTATGATCCTTCACCCCTTATGTCAAAGTGACATTAAAAGCCTGAAGCTTTCCAGCACCTCAGTTGTAAACACACTGACCTTTACCTTTGTCCTTCTTTTTAGGGTCTGTATAGTGCATCCCCATGTTTGAATGTGTCCCACTCCAGTGAGAACTCCCAGCATGGACTGGACTTCCATCATCATCTGTGTCCAGGCTCTGCACAGGACTGTGGAATCTACCTGCAAAGGTGAGAGAAGGATCTTCTTGTCATCATTTGTCCATACCAGCACTGTCATGGTTCTTTGATATAGTCATAGATCTCATTTACTATTTATTTATTCTAGTTGCATAAATTTATCTCCATATACTAAGCACATCATAACCTACATTAGAAAAAGTAACAGTAAATACCTTAGAAGTCATTTCCATACATGCAGAAGAAAACAAAAGAATTCAAAAGGCCTTTAAAATTTCTGCAGAAATGTAATCAGCTGATTATACTGGAAACCCCTCCCCCTTTAAAATCCTTAAATAAAACTTTGTATTTAAAAGACAGAATTAGAAAAAATATTCTTAAGTATTTCTGGACTTTGCCTTTTAAGATACAATATTTTCTAAGGCTTCTGGAGATTTCTTGGCTAAGTCATTAGAGTGAAAAATAAGCTTAATAAAAACACACCATCACATTTGCTCTGCTAAACTTTCCATCCACTGCTGGATGTTTTATAAAAGGTATTTTGTTTTCTAAATATACAAGTACAATTTGATGCAACTGCTGGTAAATTCCATCTGAACTCGTCAGCTTTACATTATGTAGCTGGTGTATATTTGAAGTAGTTTAATCATCACTGTAAATATAAAACTGAAGGATATTTTTCCTCTCATTGTTCTTACTTTGAAAACTGTATTTCAGTTATAACAATTCAACAACCTTCCACTAGTCCAAGGTATATCGGATCGCAACGATGTTCAGACATCACCCACTCTGTATCGTGTATTCCATTTACTCCCATGAATAGGAGTGTGACACACTATTTAAAGAACTGCAGCACAAGACCCCAAACGTAGCCTTACCTCTGTTTGCATCTGGCTGTTTCATAGAACAGACACTATAGCAGTGGTCAGAAAAAATTCCACTGTTGTCTATGTATCTGGTTGCACCCGAAGAATCTAAACCAAACCAAACCAAACCAAGTTAGTGTTATTAGAATTTAAATACTAATGCATTGATATAACTACATGTATTTTATGCTCACCAAAATTCTCTTTGCTGCCCACCTTTTTTTCTGGTTGTCTTGGGAGAATTCTGTGCTGGCCTGACAACACTCCTGTCGTGATTTACACCTTCCAGCTGCTGCCCTGATGTTTGGAGTATCAGATACAATCACTACCAAACTCTGCTCTCTCTCACTGAGGGCAGTGACAGGAGCACAATCTGGTCAGTGCTGAACACTTCTGGATACCCTCATCCCAGCTTCGACAAAATTCCTCCTTTTGTGTGTGAGCAGAATCATCTCCATTTGTAGCTTGAGGCAGTTTCCCCTTGTACAGGGAGTTCAGGTGTGTCGACTCAAATTGGCCCAACAGTGGAGCCCACAGAGTGGGTGCTCAGTACACTCAAGCCAAGACTTCTTATCCCACCCTTTATGCCCCTGATTTTCCAGGTATTAGCACGTGTGGTCCCTTCCCATAGTTATTATTCTGAAAAAAACCCATAGATTTAGTAAAGTGTACATAACTCAAGCTCTAGACAGACCTGAGTATCGGGAAGGATGTAGAGTCTTCCTTTTCCTCTTTTTAGGATGTTCATTCATTTTGAACAGTGTGAACTAACTGCAAAGTAAAAACATTCAAGAATTACATGTTCTTGCATCTAGTTTATGTTTCAGGACCTTATGGAACACTAGAAGCATTTAAAAACCTGCATATTAAGTAAGAGGTTTCTTCCTAATCCCCTTTCTTGCCCTCCAGCATATTTTGTTACAGCTAAGGACCCATTAAACACACACAACTGCTGAAGTGCACTTTCACAATCCTGCCCTGGAAGAAAAGAAGGTTCACTATAGACAGGTCAGGAATTCAGGCACTGCAGCACTCAGTCACCTACAGGCAGTTCTCCAGCACTCTGCTGTGGTTTGTCAGAGACCAGATATTCTGAGGCAGAGTCCTTCAGAAATAAATGTTTAAAATACTAACAGAGTCATGTTCTCTTACCAAAAATCCTAGGCTCTTCGGTACCTGCAGTAGAGGAGCTAAGAAGCCAGTGGCTGTGCAGCTTCCAAACGTAGTGAATGCATTAGCTCAAGAAGATTTTCACCTGTGGAGTGACAGCATTTTATATCACTTTGAAAGCTGAGCACAAAATACAACACAGAATCAAATACAAGCAATACAAATACCACAAAGAATGAAGCTATGGAAGATGAAGCTAGAAAGCAATGTAAGAAGTTGATATTAATTTTGGTTCAGAGCATCAAAATTAATCAGGTGAATGTGTTGGAGTATTTATTTTCCTTTCATCCCAGGTTAGTTGGCTTTCACTGTACTTAGCATCTCCTGACAGCAGAAAAGTGTTTGGAAAATACACCAAAAATATTTGAGCAGTGTATATGCCTTAATAATCCTGATGGGGAAAGGGCTGCAGACAGGGAATGTGACAAGGGTTACTCTAATGCAAGAGCAATTACAGGCCCAGGATCTTCTGCCACGCACCAGAGGCGAGAGCAGGGAAAAAAAAGTGCCACCATCAAGTCAATGCTGCTCTCATGAGACGAAATAATTTCTCCGAAATAAAACTTTACTATAAGGGCTGAATAACACGGGGGGAGGGGGGAGATATTAGTGGGTTTAGCATTATATTATAGTCTGGAAACATCAATGCCCGCGTGCCTTTTTCTGATGGCAAGGGAAGGACCGAGAGTGCAGTGAGACGGCAGGTCCCAGCCCAGTTATCGCATCCCAGTTATCGCATCCCAGTTAGCACAGCCCAGTTATCAAATCCCAGTTAGCACAGCCCAGTTAGCACAGCCCAGTTTAGGGCGGCTCAGCCTCTCCCCGCGGTCGCGGTCCCGAGGGTCGCTCC